GCCTGCGGTTGTTGCGGCCAAAGTGCAGGATCTGGCATTTGGCCTGTTGAAATTCATCCCATTGGCTTCAGCCCAGCTCTCCAGCCTGTCCAGTTCCCTCTGTAGGACCTCGCTACCCCCAGGCCGATTGACACTTCCAGCCAACTTAGTGTCATCTGCAAACTTACTGAGGATGCACTCAATGCCCTCATCCAGGTCACCAATAAAGACATGGAAGAGCACAGGCCCCAGCACCAACCTGAGGCACACCACTCGTAACAGATCGCCAGCTGGATTCAGCTCCATTCACTCTCTGGGCCCGGCCTTCCAGACAGTTCCCTACCCAGCCTAGTGCCTGTCCAAGCCACGGGCTGCCAGCTTCTGCAGGAGAATAGGCAGTGTCAAAGGCCTTGCAGAAGTCTAGGTAGAATACATCAGCAGCCTTTCCCTCATCCACCAGACGGGTCACTCGATCATAGAAGGAGATAAGGCTGGTCAAACAGGACCTGCCCTTCGTGAGCCCAGGCTGGCTAGGTCTGATCCCCTGGTTGTCCCGCACATGCCGTGTGATCACCCTCAAGACAATCTGCTCCATAACCTTCCCTGGCACACAGGTCATGGTAACAGGTCTGTAGTTCCCCAGATCCTCCTTACAACCCTTCTTGTAGATGGGATCACACTGGCAAGCCTCCAGTCTTCTGGGACCTCACCAGTCAACAAGGAGCGCTGATAGATAATGGCAAGCGGCTCGGCTCTCACCTCCGCCAGTTCCCTCAGCTCTCTGGGTGAATCCCATCCGGCCCCATGGACTTGTGACAGTCCAGCTGCAGTAGTAGGTCTGTGACTGCGTCCTCCCGAATTGCGGGAGGTTCTGTCTGCACCCCAGCCAAGACTACCAGGTCAGAGAGTGGAGCACCCTGAGGATAACCGGTGTGACCTTTAAAGACAGACATAAAGAAGGCATCCAGAACATCTGCCTTTTCCTTGTCATCACTGGTCACATTCCCAGCCTCATCCAGTAAAGAATGAAGATTTTCCTTAGTACTCCTCTTACCACTGATGTGTTTGTAAAAGGCTTTCTTGTTCCTTTTTACCCCAGCGGCCAGGTTGAGTTCAATCTGGGCTTTTGACTTTCTGACTTTCTCTCTACACATCTTAACAACTTCTCTGTACTTTTCTGAGTCGCCTGTCCTTCTTCCACAGGCGGTAGATTCTCTTTTTCTCCCAAAGCCTCAAGAATAGCTCCCTGTTCATCCACGCTGGTCTTCTTCCCCGCCGGCTCATTTTGCGGCTCAGGGGACAGCCAGCTCCTGTGCCTTTAAGACTTCCTTCTTGAAGAGTGACCAGCCATCTTGGACCCTTCACTCTCTGGGAGTGAAACCTAGGGCATTTCCCCTAACAGCCTTCTGAATAATTCAAAGTCCGCCCAGAACTCCAAGGTAGCAGTTTTCCTGTTTCCCCCTCCTGGCTCCACCAAGAATCGAGAACTCTACCATTTCATGGTCACTCTATCCAAAACAGCCCCCGACCTCCACATTTCCCACCAGACTTTAAAAAAACTGGGAGTTCTGTAATATTAATTCTGCCTGGTGTCTGCAGGGAACTTAGGCCATCTACCGCCCACATGTTGCCCCACTGCAGCAGCTCAGAGTCCCCTTCCAGCCCTCTTCCTTAAGGGTCAGTGCAACAGAGACTCTGAGTCTTGGGGAAGGACAAGTGTGGGGGATAAGAAAGAAGAGGTCATAGGAGTGTGATGGAGATGGGACTCTTCCCAGTTGACAGTGAAATCATGGGATTCTCAGTGGTGGAAACAAGCTGGATGTTTCAGGGGAGCTGCAGAGCCCCTGTGCACCACAAATGGACACAGGTATGTCTGACTACAGACACAGCATGGTGGTGCCTGCCCAGCTGTGATGATGGTGGAGCCATCCTCCTCCACTTCTTCCTCCAGAAGGGGATCTATCTTTGTAGGCTCCATATCGCTATCAGAGATATCAGAACCATCAGGTCCAGGTCACTGCTGCTCCCAAGAAGCCAGAGCATATTAGTGGTAGGAGGATGTGACCTCCTCTGTTTGAGAAAGTTCCTGCATCCCAAAGGTAGGTGAGGAGATCTCTAATAACACTCCTCTATCCTCACAGCATTCTGCTTATAAAGGCAGACACACATCAGTGACAGGAACCCCAGAGGTAGGGTTCCCCTGTTTTCAAGGGCTCAGAAGGTTAAGCAGATACTGCAGAAAGCCAGAGCCGCTGCTCTCTCGATTCTAAGAGTATCTCATACTGACCAAAACATGGCTGTGCTGGGTCTGAGAGGTGCCCTAGTTTTGAAGAAGGAAAGGTGCATACAACCAAAACCTGCTCAGTGAGCTTGGCTGTCCAGGTGGAACTTGAGAGTCCCTAGTATGTCTCTGATGCATGCAGCTATGTCTTATGTCAGACACAGTCCAATGGCTCCTGTCCAGCCCTGATGATGGTGGATCCACTTAGATGACTTCTTCATCCAGAAGCGGATCCATCTCCATGGGCTCCATGTCACCATCAGACATCAGTGTTCATCAGTTCCAGGTTCCTGCTACTCCTGAGAAGCCAGAGCTTATTAATAGGAGGAGGATCCCACACCTCTTACTGAGGCAACTCCTCAGTGCCTCCCACACGTTTGCAGGCAGACCACTCTCTAATAAAACTCATCTTTGCTCAGAGTTCTCTACTTCTAGAAGCCCAAATTGCTCAGCTACTGGGGCTCTAGCTGCAGGATCCCCTTATTTCTAGGGAGCCTAGGATATGCCTGTTGGCCTCCTCCTCTTGTGATCAGAAGAGAAGGCAGAGAGGCATCCAAGACAGCAGGCAGCTACGGTCATGCCATTTTAGCAATGTCCCATGCTGACCAAAACATGGCAGTGCTGAGGCTGAGAGCCCTATGGCCTAGGTTTGAAGAAGGAAAGGTCCACACAGTTCAGTGGGACAAAGAGAAAAAACCTGGCTTTACCAGTGATAAGCTGTATAGGACCTCCTTTACCAGAGCACAGCTGCAGGCAATTCCAAAACGTTCGAAGTCATACAAGGCAACGCAGGAGGCTGGCTTGACCGGCTGGCCATCTTCTTGTGCCACTTGGGTGAAAAGTGTGCAGGCACTGGAAGTGACGCTGGGCGCTGCAGGGCGACTGCAGCAATGCTGTCCGTCACTGCGGGATGGAAATTTGTGTGACAAAAGCTCACCCCGAGGTGAAGCCGGCCTGCGCCGTGAAGAGCAACAAAAAAGCCTATTTAAAACATTTTAACTGCAGCCGGAGGAGCAGTGCTAGGCCCAGCGGGTTTGGAATTTGCAGCAGAAGGGCTCCGAAGCGCCTGGAGCTGCGTGGGGCGGCTCGGCCGGCGCCCGCAGCCGCAACACGTGGCGACAACGGCGGAGCTCGGCGGGAAGCGCCGCCACCGCAAATACCGCGAGAACAGCAAATCCCGCCGCGTGTCTCTGGCTGCCCGGCGCTCCTGCCCCGCCCCGCCTTCCCGCCCTCTTGCCTCACTGCTTCCCGCTCCGCTTCGAGGCTGCGGCCCGCTCGGCCCCAGCAGGCAGGGCGAAGGCGCTACAGACCGCGCGGGGACACAGGAATCCTAGTGCAGGCTCTAAAGTATATTAAAAAAAAGCCGGCCTTGTGTGGAGGCCCTGGCTTCTTTGCCGTTTGATGCCTTTGTTTCGCTGAGGGTTTCTTGTCCGAACAGCACAGCCTTACAGTGTGCTTGCTAGTCCACAACACTGTAGCCATAGCATTCACAGCTATGATAGTTTTAGCAGGGGGAATTAATCACATAACTGAACGACTATTTCTAGAATACGCGACTGATACATGTGGTATTTTTGCTTTTTCGAACCAGCAGTTTCAAGGACAGGTTACAGAACACAAACGGGTTGTGCTCTATTTTGGAGCAGTTCCCTGTTTCTGATGCCTAACGCAGGAACAACCTTCCACTCTACTGTAGGGTGGCACAGCACTGTGCTGCCTGCCCACAGCTGATTCGGTGAATCCATCCTCCAGCGGTTCTTCCCTTAGAGTAAGATCCACCTCCACGGCTCCACATTGCCATCAAGAACGTCAGCGTTCATCAGCTGTGACAGAGAAGGGCTGGGGCTTTGGGAAAGGCTGTGCCCCAGGGCAGTGGGCATGGAGCAGGCTGCCCAGGGCAGCGGGCACGGCGCTGAGCTGCTGAGTTTGAGGAGAAGTTGGACTGTGCTCTTAGAAACATGGTTTGAATTTTGTGAGGTTTTCTGCATGGAGCAAGGAGTTGGACTCCTTCTGGGTCCTATCTAAGTTGGTATTCTGTGATTCTATGACCAGCATTGAAGTTGTGTGATTTGGTATTTCATATGAATTTCATGATGTATCGCTGAGTGCAGCGCTAGGTTGTCTGCAAGTAGATGTGATGAAGTAGATTTTGTGTTTTTGGGGCTTTTGTTTTGGGAGGATTCTGTTGACAGTGAAGTGTGCTATGCTGACAGATAGTGAAATTAAATCTTCCAGGTCAGCCAAAAATAGGTGCAACATGATAAGCGTAGTCTTCTTTGGTCTTCTAATACAGACTGGAGGTAAAATTCAGCTGCTCATTCAACCTTAGTTCCTTCTGAGCTGGACAGCACACAGCTGCCTATGACTTTTTTAGTTTTGATTATGAGGTTGGCCAGCTCACTTTGAACTTAGCTGAAAATGTAAATGTGTAAATGAAAGTGACTTGGGATTATTGCCAAGCTAGGCAGAATTTGAAGTGGTGATTCACTTTCCATATTGTATTACTAGTATTGTCCAGCACATGAAACCCAGTGTTTCCCCAGGTATTTCAAACATCCTAAACATACTTCCAGCACTCTGTGATTCTCCACTACGTTTCAGCCATAAAAACATCAGCATATACTGTGCTCTGTCTGAACACAGGTGGGAATGGACTTGTATAACCATCAGTTAGAAGTCCAGAAGTGACTGCGTAATCTTTAGCTAAACCATTGTTTTGTTTCATTTTCTGTCTCAACAGGATCCAACCGCTGCATCTATTTCGGACAGAGACTGTGATACAAGAGAGGGAGAGACTGTAGCCATGAACTATAAGCCGTCCCCACTCCAAGTGAAATTAGGTGAGTCTTTGCTGTTGGAGGGTGAAAAGACTTAATCCAAAGTCTGAAATACAGTGGTGTACTAGTGAGATCATTTACAGATCTCCACTCATAGACATGAGTGAGAATCATCAGCTGAACATGCCAGATCAGCCCACAGAACAGTTTATCAGTATGATTCTACTGCTCAGGGAACTGATCTATAAACATTCAAGGACTTCCTGTCTTGGGATGTGGTAGAAACCTTCTTTGAAAAGGTGTATTTTTTCAAACCTACAGAATTTTATCAAATTGGCCAGGAAAAAAAAAAAAAAAGAATGAATATAGAGAGGCTATAAAAAGAAAACATGACTACAAACAAAAGGGAAAGGATCAGAGACTTGGACATCACCTGTCTTATCAGGACAAGACAGAGCTGTGTTACTGTGAGATGGAGGAATTACAGATTTGTAATAGTTCACTGCTATTTCTGTGTAGTATTTCTGAAGTTCTGGAAACAGAACCACGTATTAGCACAATACACTGCTTCCTCACCAGGCTAATTCTTGCAAGAGGACAGCAGTCCACACAAGGCCCTCTTGTTTCCAAAGCCTTAAGCAGTGTTATGCCATACAGATTCAAGATCCTAATGAAGGACAGGTCAGAGGATTGATATGCTTTTTGCTCAGGTTTAAAACAAAAACGGTAATCTAAGCCTAGAAAATTTCCTCATAGATGCATATTTTTATATGGTTATGAAGAGATTTTGTCAAGTAAATAGGTGTTACCCAAGGACCTACTGCTGCAAGCAATGGTGTTGGCCTCATTGGGTGGCCTTAAAGAAGCAGCAGGAAAAGCCTCGTTTGCATTTGCAGAGTCTCAGAGCTCCAGTGAAGTATATGGGAAATTGAATGATCGGACACAGTGGTCATGGCAGTGCATAAAGGGGTTTCACAAGTAAGTATACATACAGCAAAGGAAAATAAAGTAACTGAACAATGACTTTGCTGATTGAGTGACTACAGAGAAGACAGAAAATTGGATGTACAAACACAGCAAGGTAATGTGGCAAAGTGGAAGATCTCGAAGTATCCATAGAGGACATGAAAAAGTGTATTGGCACAGCATATCTGCCCTGCAGTAGCCATCAGGAATACTCCAAAATGGCAGCTGCTTTTTAGGAAAAGGCAGAAAACAGCGGTATGTGTTGATGGGAGTGCAGATCTCAGTTTGGTAAAAGATGATCACTGGCAGCATGCCATATGCCTCCAGGATCCTTTTTCATTGCTAGAAGGATTCTGTATTGTTGAGATAATTCTGTATTGAGAGATAATTATTACTGCGATATTTGTTTTGGATCATTTAACATCAGGTGTCAGGTTGGAAAGCAGTTAATGCTACTATTCGTAGGTCTGAGATATTCCTGCATTTATAGGCAATAAAAGTATACTCAAGAGATCTGCTGATGTCACAGAAAATTGTGCTGTTTTAGTCTTGGTAACGTATGAGGATGTTATAGAAGATGTGATTGTCAGAAATAGATTGGATTCAGAGATAACAATGCAAATAAAATGTAAAGGTAATTCAGAAAAGGTCTGTAACTAACTTCAGCGTTATAGACTAAGTGCTTGAGCAAAGTCAGTGAATTGAGAACTGTAGGAATTCATTATTCACCAGGTACTGTGGAAGGAGAAGGCATCAGAAAAAAAAGAGATTGTTAATGAACTTCTTCAACAATCACTTCATTTCTAAGTAATTAATGACAAGGGCACATAAACCAGGAGTTGGCTCAGAAACCTGTGAGACATCGGTACGACAAAGTCTCAGAAACATCATAGAGAAAAAGCATGAAAACTGCAGTAGTAGAAATGCAGAAAACATGCCAGGAGAAATGCAATCTGCTGTACATTGGAAGTGAATAAGAAAGTACGGCATCACTGCAAGACAAGGAGTTATTAAAATGGACTGATACATGGCGTGGTCACACTTCTGCAGCATTTACCAGCTTTTTTCAAAACACCGATGCAGCAGAACGATTAATTCTTCTGCTAGAATATTTTGCTTTACCACGTAAAGAAAATTGCATTCTGTTTGGCCACTGATGAATGCTATTAGCAAAGTGGTAAGGGTAGGTATTAGAAGAATATGAATCCATTTTTTCCAGTAAATAAAGGTGTAGCAATATGTACATGTATGAGATATATGGAGTCCTGTAAAGCAGTCTCCAGCAAGAAGAATTCAGGATGGGCTAAGTGTAGATAAGAACTACGTAAGACGAGGGATCTGGAAAGGCTGCCATATCAGAGAAAGCTAAAAGAATTTGGCATATTGAGCCTAGTAAGACCAGGACAGAAAGAAAGAACTCCTTGTCCTTTATAAATCTTCCAGGGAGTAAATATCAGAAACAGAAAAAAATAAGTAGTTGATGCAGGTGCTATCAGCCCTGGGAAAGTTAGCGTTAAGTCGTGAAGGCTGTGCTGCATCTGAAAATTAAAGCATGATTAACCATGAAAGTAAGAACAGCTTCACTTGGTTTCTTCTGGGAATAACAGAAAGAGAAAACTCCCAGGACTTGTATTATGTGAGAGCTTTGCAGCGTTGCAGAAGATTGCTGCCTCCACGACCTGCTGGTGCTCCGGCCAGAGAATGTTCAGCACTGACCACTCTGTGGGTGAAATCTACCTGCTTAGCAGGAACTATCTGGCAGAGCTGATGAGCGTGTTCCTGCCTGGGCTCCTAGACAAGTCTGCTCAGAAACCTCTCTCTGCCTGTGGATACAGTGTGCCTCTTTAATTAGGTGAACACATATTTAATGGTGTTTGGATTGGCTTTCTGTCCTTAGCCATACTCTGATGAGTGCAAGGTTACCTGGGGCAAAACGAGACTGATGGTATTGTCTGCATCCAGTGTAATATGGTTTAATCCACATCAGCTCCCACTGCTGTCATTCTTAAGAGATGCCCGACCTTTGCAGTTTTCAAGTATTTTAACAGCTCACATCTCCCAGCTTTGGATTTTTTTCTTCGAACTCAATCTTTAGTCTTTTCTACATTAAGGATTTTTATTGTTTTTTAATCCTCTAAGCCTAGGCAAAGTTAAGGTAGTAAATATTTAGTAGCTTACCTGGCAGAGCTATTGTTGGGGATGGTAGTGACTAGGGTTTTAATCCTATTGCAAGTTTTCCATATGGATTTAACACTTTTCAGTGTTAAATCAGAATCAATTGTTCAAATGTCAAATGCTCTGATGGCAGGTTAATAAATGTCATTTTATACTCTGTGAAGATTTATATATAAATCTGTCATATGTGCTTATTGGAAGCATGGTTCAAATGTGCTCAATTAAATACCAGCCCAGCATGAATGCAGGTTTTGCTTCCAGAGCCCACAGTGATTAAAGTGTGACAGAAAAAGCGTGCTTTGCTGCAATTCCTGCTGCTGTGGTTGTTTTTCTGCTGTATTAGTAAAGAGATTTCATTGCCACACATTTGTTTGGGGGTCAGTTAGACATAGGAAAATTTTGACAGGTGGCTTTAGTTTTTATTGATTTCTTAAAGATTATACCTGGTTTGTAAATGGAGCAGGAAGACATTTAGATTGTTTCTTGTACCATATCTGAAAAGAGAACTTCACATCAATATCCGGTGCGTGTGATTCATCATGTATTACATCCGTATTAATTATGTATTTCTTACTTTCCTAGCACTCCTGCTTTGTCTTTCTTTTGAGTCTTCAGGACTTGGCCTGCTTCTTGCTTGCAAATTACTTGATGTGGAGGCTCCTGACAGCACTGTGGGGGGCTGGGTGCCCATTAGTGCTTAGGAGATGTCTCCAGCACATCCTTATTAGGAGGCATGTCCAGATGGAGCGCATACCACAAGCCTTTTGAAGGCAGAAGAGTGTTGTGATAAGGAGAGAGGGAGGAATAGAATAATCCCCAAGTGTAAATCTCGGGGGCTCCATACCCACTGGAAAGTAGCAGATCCCCGTGGGATATCAAGAGATGACATGCTATTTTAATGAAGTTTACACCATCTGTTTTTCTATTTTGCATTTTTAATTTCACTTTTTTGCCTGAAAATCCCCATCCAGACAGTCTGTCTGACTTACCTAGCAGTCAGTGTTTCACTCTGTATTAAAACAAAATAAGCAGTGTGGTAATTGGTTGCAGCACAGGCTACGGCACTGATGAGGGACTGCGGCAGTGGCATCTTTATCAGCACAATCCTGGGAGTGTGATAGTAAATCCCCCACATCCCTCTCTGCAGTTGAACACATGAGAGGGAGACAGACGGACAGAGTTACTCATAGCAGCCTTTGTCCCTCTGAGACTTCTTTCCTTCACTTACTCAGTGGCCGTGACTTGTATCCATGCTGGTTTTTTATGATCTCAGCCATTGCAGAGGGAAGGAAAACTGCATTGCTCGAGGTGTGATACATGGCTGTGCTCCTAGTGGACTGGAGGGAGATGTCTGTAACAGGCTTCACGCAAATAAAATGACAAGGGCTGATGACAGGTATTGAAAATCAAGCTGCCATTAGGGAGTTTTGATTGTTTGGTGGGAAATTGGAGAGGCTCTCTGTGGGTGCTGGCTCTTGAAAAAGGTTAAATGTTCTCTGTTTGTTAGAAGTGCATGCTGTCCAGGCCAGATTCAGATGAGCTCAAATGGTGCGTTCAGTCAGCACCTCTCTCCACAGCCATTTGACCTTCAGATTATCCTCTGCAGGCTGTTTCCTCTAGACACCCATCAGGGACGCAGAGCACTCAGTGTCAGCACTTCCTTGCCATGTTTATTTTAGACAGGTTCTGGATCAGTCTCTTAACTGCTTGAGTGGAAAGTTCCCATTTCCAGTTAATGGGGAAAGGTGGTATTTTGGGAGGGATCTGGTAGCTGCAAGAACCTTCTTTTCTTGAACTAGGTAGAGAAATATGGCAGTCCTCTTGGGAGTGTGGTGAGTAATGCCTAAATATGCATGACAAGTAAGTGTCTAATATAGGTAAGCTGGACCTCACTTTAAGACTCAGTGAACTACTTGCACATG